ACTCCAAACATGTACTCATTAATATCTTGAATCCAGTAACCACAGAGGCTTTCTCACCTCAACTCAAAGCTCTAGGGAACAAAGTTAAACACAATTTAAATAATAAATTCATAATTATATTTCCCATGAAGTATCTTAATTTAGCAATTCAATTACAATGTTCCAGTTTAATATGCAAAGTGAGTCATCATCCAAGAATTCGAGAACCCTACAACTTGACTGCCCCTGATCATCACACAACACTTGTAAAACACGACAAGTCACCTTAATGTTCACTCACCGAGAACTGAGTCTAAGTTGAATAGAGAGGGGGGGGGGGTCTGTAGTTGACAGAGACTCCCGCCCTGCCGGCCGACAGCCTCCCTGCTACTCTGCTCTCCTGACTGCCGTTCTGTCTCTGTTGTTTTAATGCTTAGTGCTCTATGCTCCCTCAGTATATATTGGGGACCCTAGTACTAACTCCGCCCACAAGTAGATAGCCTCCGGCACTACCAAGCCACTCCTTAAACGTCGGCATGTTTGAAGGCTACCAGGCTCCAACTAAGAGATTATCAGAAGCAAGGTGAAATTCGCATGATCTGACCTCAGGTCACTTGGGGTCATTAACGCTTAGAGGTGTGAGATCTCAGGCCGACAAACTGGCGCCTCTCCGATCCTTGTCTGTGACTCATGTACTCTATGTATGTATTAACCTAAACCAAACACTTTTACAGTGTTACAGGGTGAAAGAAACTCTGCCCATTGTTTCTCGCCGGCGCCCGGGATCGAACCCGGGACCACAGGATCACAAGTCCAGCGTGCTGTCCGCTCGGCTCCATATCATATATCGCCTTGGGTCACGGGATTGTTGATAGTTGTTTTTTTTTTTTTGAGGGGGGCGTGTACTAGCTGGTTCTCCCGGCGGGGTGACGGTGTTCGGGGGCCGGCTTGGCCGAGGTGCCGGGGGTTGGTGGGTCTTGGTGGGCTCCTGGTGTGACCTCAGCCGTGGTGGGCGGCTGGCTTCTGTTCTGCCGGGGGACACTCGATGACTTTTTGCGTTTTAGTTGGGGGCAGAGTTTTGGTCTTGCTACCTGGTGTTCTCTGTGTGGGGCTGGGGCCCGGTGCTTGTCACCCTGAGGGACTCCCCAATCATCTGCCTGACTGTGCGTTTATTTGCCGTATGGCATATTAGTTTCTAGTGATTGGCGTCACTCGTTTCGCGGTTTGGCTTGGCGTTCCACTCTTCCAGGCTTCGCGATTCACCCATCAAGGGTACGCCGGGGCGCATCGGATCCCACGATCGTCGTCGCCGCTAAATCAACATCTTATGTAACACTATGCTCTATAGTGTCAAGTGTTTTACCTTCCTTTAATATTCCTGGGTAAACATGTATGCTTATGTTAATATCTTAGTGCTCTAAGAACATCAATGTTTACAACCTGTAATAAGTATAAGGAATTCTTGTCTATTATTTAATAATGATGTTCGTAAACGAATGCTATTTTTTTAAATAATACATAAGCAAAAAAAACTAATTTAATATCCTTAGTCACCATTGTTTTGCAGTACTTGTACTATTAGATCGAAAACACTTTTTTCTAATGAGAGCTTCCGTTTGTTTTTGTATTTCATGCATATAGGACTTATATCTTTTGACAAAAAACGAACGCGTTTCTTTGCTTTAGGTGATAACTGCTGTACTCGTGTATTCTGTCCCTGGAAACTTGTCAGGGAAGGCTCTAGACGAGCTATGGGAGAGGACTGCTTTAAGCCTCTCATATGTCTGCTTCTGTACACACGAAGAGGAGCAAATGAAACGGAGAGAAATATATCTATTGCTCGTTTGTGTCTCTTGCTCTTTGTCTCTCTCTCCCCCGCGCATGCGCGCGAGAGAAATAGGGAGAAGCGCCAAGATATTACGACTATATAGCACTAGGAAGGGGTCAGGATAAGGAATTGGGATGGGACGGGGGAAAGAAATGGTGCCCAACCCCTTACGGACGGTCGGGAATTGAACGCCGACCTGCATGAAGCGAGACCGTCGCTCTACCATTCGGCCCAAGTGGACCAGAGGGGGGGGGAGAGAGGGAGGGAGCGAGCGAGCGGCAGGGACCCGCCGCTCAGTGTTATGTAAACACTGAGATGATAATAAAAGTTTATGCCGGCCGACAAAGGCTAATTCCATCTCCATCACAACCGCAATCTTTGTTGTTGAAGGTGTGTAGAATGCCAGGTGTGTAGCCCCACACTGTGTGGGGGCAGGATGCCATGTGTATAGCCCCACACTGTGTGGGGGCAGGACACCAGGTGTATAGCCCCACACTGTGTGGGGGCAGGACACCAGGTGTATAGCCCCTACACTGTGTGGGGCAGGACACTAGGTGTATAGCCCCACACTGTGTGGGTGTAACACGACTGAAATGTCACCATTGTAACGATTACTGACAATCAAGCACTGCTGTTATTGTACAACTATGGTAACACTCAAGACGGGCTGGCTGGCTGAGTGGACAGCGCTCTATACTCTTGGACCTAGGTTCGATCCCGGCGGAAAAACAAATGGGCAGAATTTCCTTCACCCTAGCAGTAAATAGGTACTTGGGAGTTAGACAGCTGCTACGGGCTGCTTCCTCCCTCTCCCTCCCCCACCCTCTCTCTCTCTCTCTCCCTCCCTCCCCCACCCTCTCTCTCTCTCCCTCCCTCCCCCACCCTCTCTCTCTCCCTCCCTCCCCCACCCACCCTCTCTCTCTCTCTCCCTCCCTTCCCCACCCTCTCTCTCTCTCCCTCCCTCCCCCACCCTCTCTCTCTCTCCCTCCCTCCCCCACCCACCCTCTCTCTCTCTCCCTCCCTTCCCCACCCTCTCTCTCCCTCACCCACCCTCTCTCCCTCCCTCCCCCACCCACCCTCTCTCCCTCCCTCCCCCCACCCTCTCTCCCTCCCTCCCCCACCCACCCTCTCTCCCTCCCTCCCCCACCCACCCTCTCTCTCTCCCTCCCCCACCCTCTCTCTCTCCCTCCCTCCCCCACCCTCTCTCTCTCTCCCTCCCCCACCCTCCCTCCCTCTGTGTGTGTGTGTGTACTCACCTATTTGTGCTTGCAGGATCGAGCATTGACTCTTGGATCCCGCCTCTCCAGCAATCGGTTGTTTACAGCAATGACTCCTGTCCCATTTCCCTATCATACCTAGTTTTAAAAGTATGAATAGTATTTGCTTCCACAACCTGTTCCCCAAGTGCATTCCATTTTTCCACTACTCTCACGCTAAAAGAAAACTTCCTAACATCTCTGAGACTCATCTGAGTTTCCAGTTTCCACCCATGTCCCCTCGTTCTGTTATTATTACGTGTGAACATTTCATCTATTTCCACTTTGTCAATTCCTCTGAGTATTTTATATATGTCCCTATCATATCTCCTCTGTCCCTTCTTTTCTCTAGTGTCGTAAGGTTCAGTTCCTGCAGACGCTCTTCATATCCCATCCCTCGTAACTCTGGGACAAGCCTCGTCGCAAACCTCTGGACCTTCTCCAGTTTCTTTGTGTTTCTTCAGGTGGGGGCTCCATGATGGCGCGGCATACTCTAAGACGGGTCTCACGTAGGCAGTGTAAAGCGCCCTAAATGCCTCCTCATTTAGGTTTCTGAATAAAGTTCTAATTTTCGCCAGTGTAGAGTACGCTGCTGTCGTTATCCTATTTATATGTGCCTCAGGAGTTAGATTAGGTGTCACATAAGTCCTCTTGGAGGATCCTACAATCCTCGTCTGTCACAACTCTTCTCATTAATTTTGCGCCATCCGCAAACATTGACATGTATGATTCCACTTCTGTAAACATATCATTTACGTAAATTAGAAAGAGGATTGGTCCCAGCACCGATCCTTGAGGTACTCCACTTGTTACTGTTCGCCAGTCCGACTTCTCGCCCCTTACCATTACCCTCTGGCTCCTTCCTGTTAGGTAGTTCTTCACCCATACTAGGGCCTTTCCGCTTACTCCTGCCTGCCTCTCAAGTTTGTATAGCAGTCTCATGTGCGGTACTGTATCAAAGGCCTTTTGGCAGTCAAGAAATATGCAGTCTGCCCAGCCTTCTCTGTCCTGCCTTATCCTTGTTACTTTATCATAGAATTCTAAAAGGTTTGTTAGGCATGATTTCCCTGTCCAGAACCCATGTTGGTGCTTGTTTACAAACCCAATGCTCTCCAGGTGCTCAACAAGTCTTAGCCTAATTATTCTTAAAAGTATTTTGCAGGGGATGCTTGTCAGTGATACGGGTTTGTAGTTAAGTGCCTTCTCCCTATCACCTTTCTTGAAAATCGGTACATTTGCCTCCTTCCAGCAACTGGGCAATTCTCCCGACATAAGTGACTCATTAAAGATCATTGCCAGAGGCACGCTGAGAGCCTGCGCTGCCTCTTTAAGTATCCACGGTGATACTTTGTCTGGTCCAACAGCTTTATTTGCATCCAGTGTTGTCAACTGTTTCATTACCTCCTCTGCTGTCACCTCTATATCTGATAGTCTTACATCTAGGGTAATCGCTTCTAACAATGGGAGCTGCTCAGGCTCGGTTGTGAACACTACATGGAATTTTGCATTCAGTACCTCGCAGATTTCCTTGTCGCTTTCTGTATATGCCCCTTCTGTTTTTCTGTCTTTTCACTTGGTCATTTACCGACATCTTCCTTCTTATATGGCTATGTAGTAGTTTAGGTTGCTTTTTCAACCTGTGTGTGTGTGTACTCACCTAGTTGTGTTTGCGGGGGTTGAGCTCTGGCTCTTTGGTCCCGCCTCTCAACCGTCAATCAACAGGTGTACAGATTTCTGAGCCTATCGAGCTCTATCATATCTACACTTGAAACTGTGTATGGAGTCAGCCTCCACCACATCACTTCCTAATGCATTCCATCTGTTAACTACTGACACTGAAAAAGTTCTTTCTAACGTCCCTGTTAGAAAGGAAATTATATATAATTTCCTTTATAAGCCCTTTAATGTTAATTAAAGGAAATATATAAATACACAGAATAAATTAAGTCACTATTTAATGCAAAATTAATTAATCCCTAAGCTAGTGACATCCTATCCTTAAGAGGCACGGTAATGGAATACAAATTGTACAGTTAACCCTGGACAAATACCTGTACAACCTGCTTCCTCGGCCCAGCAGGTGTTGTAGGCTCCGTGGTTGATCATCCCCACTCCCCTCTCACGGTTACACCAACACACTTCTGTCTTGTGTGCTTTAGTATAGGCTCCACTCACTCTCCTGCTCTAGAAAACTCTGCCCCTCTCTATGCCTATATCCAATCAATTTGAACTAGGCATAGGCCCTGGCACACTCAGCCAATGAGGAAGCTCTAAATCCAAGAGACTGAGTAATCTCAGGAAAGCTGGGTATCTGGCCTATATTCCAATCCACGAGAAAACACGTGACCATATACAGTACTGTAATATGAAACGGTAATAAACTGCCCTTTCTCTCCAAAGGAGAGGACAGACAACCCTGGCACTAATATCCGAGGGTGCACGTAGGGAAGGAATAATGACACACACACGAGGTGAGAGGACAGCTTAACATGTCTCACCGTTACACAGGCAGGACACCAGGCGTGTAGCCCCTCCCCAACACCGAGGGGCCAGACGCCCCTGGTGTAACTGCTGTGTGGGGGTAGGTTAATGGCTGTGTTTAGAGTGCAATATTCTTTCCTTACACTTCTCTCATACTACCGTAGGCTCATACCACTCCACCCTATTTAAAGATAAAGTGATTGATTAAGATTAAGCCACCCAAAAGGTGGCACGGCCCATAAGTGATGGCCTTATTGAGCCATTACCAGTATCAAGAGTTGATACTGGAGAATCTGTGGAGGGGCAACTGCACCCTGCGTGATGCGAGATGTCTCCCGTGAAATAAAGTGGAAAAAATTGGGAATATAAACCTATTAGTAAGCCCAGCCTAGGATACATCAGGAGAGGTATAACACAAATTTTTTTGGCATAATTTAATGTAAAGAAAACATGACAGGTACCTAAATTCAGGTTGACCAGAAACGGATCACTTGTCTGAAAGTGGTCAACCACAACTTATTAGGTTAATTGCATTAGAAGCAGTTTACCCTGATAAAAGCCAATAATTTATTGGAAAAAATCAATTAACAAAAGATGCTAACGAGCAGCAATTTCTGCCTATAGTGCATCACTGGCTACATTCCAGAGGTGTTAGACTTACAGCTCTGCCACCTGTCCACTTGTTATTGTGCAAAAGTTAATGGGAACTGGTCCATACAAGAAGTCCGAGCTTAATTATGTAAGCATTATTTCCATCTTCACAGTTTTCTTTGTTCTCGGAAGATATTCCTGCTACCCTGAGGTGCCACAACACACTTAACCAGGCGAGTTTTTTGTTTTGTCTTGCCTTAACCAAGCTGGCCTGACTGAAGTGCTTGCTGGTAGCCACTCTCCTTACTTGGCTCCTGCTCCAGCTTGATCATGTCATCAATACGGAGAATTGTGATAGCTGCTTCAGTAGCAAACTTCAATTGTTTTAACTTGCTCATTGCAGGTTCAAATACACCCGCCTTTCTGTTGTCACGCACCTGACCTGAAGTGGAAATTGTCATTAGTACAATCAAATAACAGGAGCCTAATATGCATTGGTCAAAACTAAGTGAATAACAGTATAGTAAAAATAGTGAGAAGACCAGATAACCAAAATGTTCAATAGATACAAATCCAGCCTCTAATATAATGAAACATTACTTGTGAGGTCTCTTAGTGGCTACTCTGTGCCAAGTGTTGGTTGTACCATGCCTTGGGGGGAAACTGCACCAGGCCTTTAAGACCCACTAACATACTGGGAGCCAAGACCATTATCAGGTTCCCTCAAAGAGGCAAAGATAATTAGGAATCAGATCAGCTTGAAAATAGCCCCAATGTAACTAACTCTCCTGCTTCATTCACTTGGTTCACTGCAGACTCATACTTGGGTCTCAAAAGCACAAGACCACTGTGCTAACCTCTATGGATGCTCGCAATAATGAAGGATTTAAAAAATAGCTAAAAAGACACCTAATCAAAAATTTACCCTATTGTGCACATCTGCCACCAGGTGTTACCCCAGGGGAACCTGTTAATCCAGAACCCCCTAATTATTTTCCCTGAAAATGCCAACCCATGTAGAAAAAAGGGAACCCTCAGTGATGCGAACCACTGAGGGTTCTCGTCAAAATATGGTATTACATTTAACACTAGAGATAAGACCTCAATGGTTCAATTTTATTATCTTGCAACAGTACTTTCCTCTGATAAGGCCAGCATCATTGAAACAATGAAGCAGAAAATTAAAAATGCAGTCAAGGCTTGCCAATGGAAGAAGACAACAGAAATAAAGTGAGAAGGAATGAGTATCCAGCAAAGACCTAAAGACCCATAGGACTGACAAAGCCAAAGTTGTATGGTGCCCATATCTCAAGAAGCATGTCAACAAACTGTAAAAGGTGCAAAGGTGTGTAACAAAATGGCTTCCAGAACTGAAAGACGAGCTATGAGGAGAGGCTTTACATTAGAGATTTAATTTTTACTTAGAGATTTTACTCTATTTTATTTTTACTTTACTTAGAGATTTTACTTAGAGATTTAACAGGTGTTAAATATGGCTAAGCTAAAAGACAAGAAAAAAAAAAATATGATTACTATGCACAAAATAATAATGGGAAATTGACAAAATCGATAAAGAAGAATTCTTGAAACCTGGTACTTCAAGAACAAGGTCACATATTCAAGCTAACAAAACCAAGGTGCCAAAAAAGCATTATAAAAGTTCACTTTTGCAAACAGTGGTAATGAGTTGGGACAAAAAATGAGGTAGTGGTGGATACCAAAACCGTCAGTAGTGTCAAGGTGTCATAACAGAGTGCCGGGAAGATGCGACACCACAAGCATAGCTGTCATCTAGTAACGACACTTGGGTAATTACACACACACACACACTATAAATTCGTGGAAGACCCTTTCCTGCAGTGAAGCGAATATATTTAGGAGGTACAATATTTCTATAGGTATAAAACAATATTTACAATTTGATTAAATCATCATTCAGCATATCTGAATTTTGCCTTCAGTGATAGTGGAAACCCTGGAAACACAAACCGAAACTGTCTCTATTTTCCGCTTGTAACAACTTGTAATAAAGTTGTTACATCTTGGCTTAATGTGTTTATGACGTATTGGAACGTTGTTACAACTTGATATATTAGTTGTTATAACTGGTTAGGTGGTGTTAAAACTTGTTCGAACGTTGTACCAACGTCGTAGTTTCGGTGTGTGTTTGGAGGGAAGGCCCCTTATCCTTATTATCTAGCATAACATCTCAAATATCAAACATACTAAAAAGAGGAGCCCTATTGCACTTGCACTGTAAAGAACTATAAAATAACTAATCGCACTGCACTTATCATATTAATCAAGTTCCATTTATACAGGCTGTGAGACAGCAAAATTAGGTTCCACATTTCATAGCCTAACAAAACACAAAGTAAACAAACCTTCTAATAGATCCAGGCCATAATGTTTTAGCTGTGAATGTTCTGTTTTGACTTGTGACGAGTGATGGTAGGCACGTAGTTTGGGTACTAGGTCGGTGGCATCCTTGGCAGCATTCACAGCAAGGGTGTTGGGAATAACCAACAGAGATTGTGCAAATGCACCAATAGCTAGCTGTTCTCTTGAGCTCTGTAGCAAGAGAAAACAGAATTGAAGTGAAATTAAAGTTCCTAATTGGGACAAGCAGCAATATAACATTAGAACTCTCTAGTAAACAATTCTTTCAACATAACCAAATGCAGAGTTGCACACAAGCTACAGTACTGTTTATGCAAATAATCTCAGAAACAGATCAAGATTTATGGTCTCCTGGAATATTGTGAACACTTAAGTATGTCTTGGCAGAAAATTAAGTATCCTGTATACTTATAGAACAGGGAAGTTGAGCAATTTATGGGTCATCAAGTGAGTACTTGCTTTTGCAGCACTAGTACTGTATATACTGTATTATTTTGAAAGTTTTTTTGCCATATTATTCAATAGTGTGTAATTTCATAAATTTTTATAAACAAATCTGTGGAACATCGCCACATTAAAAAATATGGCACACATCTTTGTCTTGTTCTAAAACTGTGCGACTGTTTTTGTCGTTATTACACTATACACACACATTATATATAACTATCTACATTTTTATGCATGATTATGAACCATTAAGTGTTTCTGGTGAATGTAATAACTTTATAACCCATTATCAAAGTTCAGCATAGTCCTGCATTGTTTACACGAGTTGTAACAGTACGCCTTGGACATATATTATTTTCTTAGTACTGTAAACGTTTTTACCACGGTTTTTTCAATTCGAATGATGCACTGGGCTACTAATGTCATTTGTATCACAGAACATGTAGAATAGTGGTAATCATGTGTCATACCTAGTTATACTAGAAGAGAGCAGTATACAACTAGCCTGTATAATCATGAGAGGGGGTGGTGGTTCACCCTACAACTTAGATACTTAGATGTTGAGTGTAGCAGGTATCAGCCTGGGTTGCTCAGTTGACCTGACCAATGGTCATGAACAATCCCATTCCTCTCCTCTCCTTGCCACACCAGTAAAGCCCAGAGTTCAACCAATCAGGTGTGTGTATGGTTGAAACAGCATTTTGATTGGTGCTCTGTGGGCTTTTACTTAAGTGAATAAGATGCGAGCTCGGCTGCTATACCCTTAACTCACCACCTTGCAGAAGCTGTTATAGGTACCTGTTGATAACTACAGTAGTGAGTGGCTGGCACACCAGTCCTAGCCCTGGAAACACAAACCGTAACTGTCTATTTTCCGCTTGTTACAACTTGTAATAAAGTTGTTATATCTTGGCTTAACGTGTTTATGACGTATTAGAACATTGTTACAACTTCCTATATTGGTTGTTATAACTGATTAGGTGTTAAAACTTGTTCGAACATTGTAGCAACATCGTAGTTTCGGTGTGCGTTTGGCGGGAGCCTAGCTGTACACAGTAGTGTACCAACCTTAAAGTACTCTTGGAGAGTGCTCAGCGCACACACCCTTTAACCACATAAGTTTGTACAGTACAGTGGTTTTTGCGAATAAGTATCCACTTGAAATATGAGGACTAATAAATTCTGGCATAGACAAATATCACAGCCATCATGCCTCCACTGCAGCATTGTATCAACAAGAGGCAGAAGAATACAAAATTAAAAGCATCTCCCAGAATGGGAGAAAGGTTGGCCGAGCGGACAGCACACCGGACTTGTGATCCTGTGGTCCCGGGTTCGATCCCAGGCGCCGGCGAGAAACAATGGGCAGTTTCTTTCACCCTATACCCCTGTTACCTAGCAGTAAAATAGGTACCTGGGTGTTAGCCAGCTGTCAAGGGCTGCTTCCTGGGGGTGGAGGTCTGGTCAAGGACCGGGCCACAGGGACACTAAAAAAAAGCCCTGAAATCATCTCAAGATAACCTCCCATTAGGAAGACCAAGGAGGCTTATCTAGCAAAAAATTCATACACAACAGTAACTTTTTAGGAGGCAAGTCACTCACCAGGCTTGTGGCAAAACTCTCAAGATACACAGAAAGTGCAGCCTCCACAGCTCCTCCTCCACACACAATAGCATTGCTCTCCAGCACTCTCTTCACCACACACAGTGCATCATGGACCGACCTCTCCATCTCGTCACAATAGAAGTCATTAGGACCTCGCAGAATAAGTGAACTTGCAGAGCGGACAACTGGCCTGTGGAGAAATAGAGAGAGATTGTCAGAGTTTAGTACCTAAGCAGGGAGATGCATTTAAGTGTCCAGTTTTGTAGTGAAATTTTACAAATTCAGTTTTTCCTTGAACAAGCTTAGCTTTCTACCTACACTAAGTTTAATTAAAAAAAAAAAATCAGCATTAAGGAAATTCCATTAATACTGTAAAAGTTGCTAGCTAGTCAGTAATTAGAGTTTAGGAAGTTATTTATATCAGAAATATTTGGGTTAGAGTTTTGGCGTTGCATTTTTAGCGGGGAAATTTAAGTCCCATAATATATATTTGCTTAAATCCCCGAATTTTTAACTATTAAATTTTGATGAAATTTTCACACTGCAGAGTAACAGCTGCTACAAAATACAGCTATATAAAAAGGTTAAATTTAAAATATTTAATGTTTTTCATATTAACAATTTCAAAATAATTATTTGTCTAAATGACTAACCTTTAAAGTGCAGTTATCGTCATAAGATAATTTACAGGATTACATTGCTATACTCAATGTTGATTTAAACTATTATTGTTTGGGTTTTATAACAATGATGCTAATATAGATATAATAGCTCCATAAGGATGAAGTAGATTACCTTGGCCCATGACAAAATACTGCTGTCACTTCCACGATTACCTTACTATGCAAATGTGGTTATAGCAAATATTTACTATGCCTATGTGGTAATTTTCACGTATACAAGTTCATTATAATTACATGTATACCGATTATGGTCACATGGTTTTTACAATCCTATATGGTTGTAATGAAGTATAGTAGACCAATCAATCATTTAAAACAATAATTATAATAAATAACTAAAGAAATGCAGAAGGCCTATTGGTCCAGACAGGGTAACTATTTATATACACCAAAACTCCTTCATATATGGGTCTATTTGCCCACATAAGGATATAAATAGCCATCTCATTTGCACAAATAGGCCATCTGCAGTCCCCCAAGTTCTTAGCACTTTCGTGCAGGGACAATGCAGTATAGTGTCAAAAATTTATTAGAAATTTATGCAAAATTTTATTTAGAAATAAAATTTATGCGGGAATGACATATCAATGCGTCAAAAATTTAACAATTTGCTAAAGTTCAGGTTTTTATGCGATTTTTTTGCGGGGAACCCATTTTAAAATTGGCGCCATCTCCCCTTTCCCAAAATGAGCGCTGTAACACAAAAACTGATGTTAACTGGAAAAAATACTAAACATTTGAGAGTGGGATATAGGGGTGTAGTGTGTGGGCCAATGGGTGTTCGCATACAGGTAACGCATGGCCTGCTTTTGGCTTGACTGTGGGTGGGGCGTGCTGCAGTTTTGGACATTATATGCATATACTCCTGTAAGGAATTCTATTGCAAATACATTGATACCAAAATGAAAAACCTAGGACGAGAATTGAGTTGAGAGTGTATACACTTTTCAGTATTACCGCGCGCTCATGTGGAATGCCTGGCCCACCTTCGGGTGGTCAGGTGCTCGCTCGCCCAAAGCACGAGTGATAAGTTTTCATTGATACATATAAATTCATTGTAGGCCTAAATGTATTATCCTTGTCATTAGTAATGTACTCATTCCATGTTTTTGTAAATTACATGCACATAAAGCTAGCTATACAACAAATACTATAATGAACAAACTAAAAAGTGAAGAAACAATTATAGAAATATTTAAGATCAACATCAGCATGTGCCAGAGTCCTCTGGCACATGCTGATGTGTCAACAAGAAGCCATGTCTGGTAATGACAGATCTACCCCATCTACAGCTCACCAAATCATTAAATATGTAGGCATTTACATTATTTAAACTTTCTTAACATTTTGCATTCAAATTAATCATTCTATAATGAAAATATTAGTTTGCATTTATTTATTTATGCATGGGTAGAAACGTGTGAATATCCACAGCTACACATCAAAACTAAAAGGGTTATCAAATTTCAGTGGCAGATTTGATAAAAAAAAATATTTGCTAATAAAATCTAAAAATAATTCACCCTTTAATTAGTATGAGTTCATCATCACAAATGCGTTCCTGAGATACTTCTGCAGCTTCTCCAATGTAGCTGGCCTCAAAAGATTCTTCACCTTCCAAATTGCACATAGTAGTAAGGAAAGTTGCGCCGGTTGCCTTCGCTATTCTCTGTAAAATAAAATATAAATTAATACAAGAACACTTTCAGCCAAAACCTAGGTTACAAACCAGAACAAAATGGTACAAAAAAAAAAAAAAATACGTGCCAATTTCTTCAACAAAATAAATAAGTGGTTCCACATCTATCATTTTCATATAGAGTAAGTTTGGCCTATAACAATCAATCATCTTTGCACCACTATACACAAGTCTTGAACACTTTAAGCAGATACATAAAGGCATTCTCTGTAACTATTTCTCACAAAACCACAAGGTGCTGACCCATACCTTAAGATCAGCCTTCTTGCAACGTCTGACAGCCATAGCACCAGCCTCTACGAAGTATTTTAAGCAAAGATCATCAATACCACCTGTGGTAAGGATTACATTGGCTCCTGTCTTCAAGATTTTTTCAATGCGTTCCTGAAATTAGCAAACAAAATTATATTAAAATACTTTTAGTAAGACTGGTAATAAAGAACAGTGATCTCCAGTTCATATAAAATATTCTTACAAAAAACACAATTAATGCAAATTATGTAGGTTTTATATGCATAGTATACTTTATATTAATTCCATAATAATTTTTTCCCCATCCAAAATCCGTAAGTGGTTCTCACATTCATTTAAACAATTTGAATAATTAACATGCAAGTTACTGCAACTGGATCAGATATTCTTATTAACCAAAGGGCTTCATTATCGGTAAACTGACAAATGAGAATCTTCTGAGCCAGTATTAACTCACATAAAATTGCATAACCAAGCATTATGAGAACTGATCAGATGCAAGACTTATGCTAATGAAGTACAATGTGTACGTTAAGCAGACTAGAGCGACATGTTGTCCTTACCTTAGTAATGTCGGACTCGCGCTGCCTGATGGCCTCTAGCTTTGATGGATCATTCACTAATACCTGGATACCAAGCTTCATTTTTTCCTTGTTCAGAGAGAAATCCAGACAAACAATCTTGGCATTTACGATCTTCTTTGCCATAGCTAAAAACAAAGGATTATATATTTTAGTCTAAGTATTCATTAGAGTATTATTATTATTACAGTAATACTACTACTAAAAGTAGTATTATTTAGTGATAATATTTTTACTGATAAATTATAACGCGGTAAATGTTACACGTATATAGCGTTTTATTATAAATGATCAAACAAGGTATCCATTCTCTAAGCCATTACTACTTGTAAAATTATATTTAAAAATTCTTTTTGTCATAATTTCTCTCCATACTGTGGATGGAGGCGGCTTCTACTGCCACTACTTCCACAGTGTACTCCACATGCTAACCACTCTCAATGATTATGAGTGCTTGCCTTCTTGCTTCTCTCTGGCTCATCTGTGATTACAACTTCTAACCATGTATTCTTGACCTATTTTCCCCTCAATCTGAAAATGTTGCCAATGTCTACCTTGTCTATCCCTCTCAAATTTTTGTATACATTTATTTTAACCTCACTAAATTGCTAGATTGAGTTCTCTAAAGCCGTCTTCACAGCTGAGGACATCTTAGCTCGGGTACCAACCCAATCTTGCGAGTTGCCACAATGGACAAAGTACTGTACAGGCTACTACAAGACGTGAACACACGACATCCATTTAACCTAACCAATTTACAGAATAAATGCAGACATTTTGTGAATTCGTATATCTATATTGTACAAAATGTGGTGTACTATTTCTTGATGCAGGTTGTATCAGGAAATTCATGAAGCACATTCATATCTGATCATTGACACAAAACTCGTAAAAATAACCCAAAAACTAACGGAAAACTTTGAGAGGATAAACATTTTAGGCACCACTGAGTGGGGCCCCGAGATGCCCAGGACATTTACACTCTTGAAATATGTCGACAGGTCGGAATGTAGTGTTAGAAGTCGATTTGATATAATCCCAGTTTAGCCTTCATTGTGCCATATCACAGTACTTTCTAGGTTAATAAAGTAATATTTACCAAAGTAAAATAACTTTACTATCAACAGAATGCAAAGCTAAATGCTGATGATGACACCCTAGGTCAAAAAATAAGTGTTAATAGTGGGTGGACACAGAACTTCAAACAATCCAGATAATGAGTCAATAACGTGGCTGAAAAATGTTGATCAAACCACACACTAGAAACTCAAGAGACGACAACGTTTAGATTCGTTCTGGACCATTATCAAGGCAATTGTGATAATGGTTCAGGACAGACTGAAACGTCGTTGTCTCTTCAATAAAAATCAATAAAATTAAAACTTTACCTGTTGACTAGTGCTCGTCCATTCAGCACAACACAAATGCCAATTTATAAATTAATAATGACTGCTAATTTCAAATGTATAGTGATTGCTAATTATGACTATCTGGGTCAGTGAGTTGTCACATTAGCACAGTCCATCTGCACAATGCTCCCTGTAAACCTCTCCCGTCGGGTTGACAAATTTAAAGTTTGGGGGGAGAGAAGGCGGGCAGGATGTCTTGTATGCTCTATGCCCTGGCAAATAATCTAACTGAAATCACAGAAAATGAAAACTGATGCACCTAAATGCAGATAGCTTATTGCCATTAATGTCCTACTTTGTTGGAAAATAATAATAAATAATAACCGGATCATTCTTTACTAACCATGTGATGCTACTGTGCAATTTAGTGCATAACCATTGACAATGACGGACTCTGTTGCTGAACGTCCATGGGCTTTTAAAATATTGACAGCTTTGATTGGATACTTAAATCCACCTTTGCCATCAGAGGTTTTCACTGCCATGGCAGCATCCACCACCATATTTGCAAAGAAATCACTATCGATGGAGATCACCTGAGAAAAACAAACAGTGTTTAGAGAATAAACCTGTGAAATGCTGTGTAGCCTACAAAAACATTTTTTAAGCCATACCACCCAGTTGTGCACTGAGGCATAATGCTTCTCACCAATGGTTAGGACTAGTGCAGGCAAAGCTGGTCAACCAGCACAGCAGGAAATGTCAAATAGTTCCTGCCGGGTCATATTGGTGCTAGGAGAGGGTGGAGCAGACTTACCTATGCAGGATTTAATTCAATCCACCAAACCCCTGGTACCAAAAACTTTTTTTGTTTTAATTCCCACCTATCTTTTTTTGTTTTAAATTCCACCTCTCTCTCTTTTCTTGTCTCTCGTTCCTTTTCTCTTTTCTCTCGTCATATTGATACGCCCGCCTTGCAGTACAGTACAGAGGACATTTCTTCCACCACAAACCAAGTGGTGCATTTATACCCACCACAAGTGGGTATAAATGCCTTCCTAATCAATGATGCTCCCTTAATAATAATAATAATAATAATAGAGGTCCTCAATGCAGATCTCTGTGCCCCCATTGCAACCTCTGAGGTGATGGCTCCATGAACATTCGTGACATTGCAATATTTCTGCGCTTCATCAGAACCAAAGCCACTATTTTTTATTTTTCTCACGATCAGGGAATGCATTTTAACAAGAGTTTTTGTTATATATTTTATCCTTGCTCACCAGGGATTTGTCTCCTATAAACAGGGGCACAGTTCAAGGGTTAAGTTCTTAAGTTTCTACCATATCTTAATGTATGGAATTTGATAAATGAAACAAATAAAACTGTAGATTTGACTGTTAATCACACTTTTGAAAAACAGTTGCAGATGTCGCCAGCTGCGTACTTGCCCTTTCTCCACTAGTTCTTTTCTTATTTTGGTTTCCATCCCAACTTATATGACACCAGCAGAGGAGAAATAAGCTGTATTAAACTGCTTTTTGCCCTTCCCTCATCCCTTGTGTAAATGTTGTCTCTGCCTGGTAAAGCTGTATCCTGATGTATTGTTTGTTCACTGTAATCTTCATTCATTTTTCCCTGTTTTCTTTCTTAAAATCTATTTGAACTTTCTCAGGTTCTCATAGACCCCTTTAATCTGTAATTTTTGCTGTATCCATCTAGTTGTGCTTGCGGGGGTTGAGCTCTGCTCTTTTGACCCGCCTCTCAACTGTCACTAACTTCTTTTTTCTCTCTCAAACACACACACACCCAGGAAGCAGTCCGTAACAGCTGTAACTCCCAAGTACCTATTTTTGGCTAGGTAACGGGCATCAGGGTGAAGAAACTATGCCCATTTGTTTCCGCCGGTACCGGGAATCGAACCCAGGACTACGTATCCAGCGTGCTGTCCACTCAGCCACCAGCGTCCCTAGTATGTGCTTTATAACATATACAGTACAGGTATTTAGTAAGAAATATTTGACAAAACTATCACTCCTCTGGAGAATACATGCTGCAGTGGCAACAATGAATCACTAACCTGCCAATAACAATGAGACACTTTGTACAAGTAGCACGGTTGCTAACAATGAGGAAATATTGCACGACCACAATGGACCACCTGAGAAATACAGGACAGAAAACACGTCCAAGGGAAGATGTGTTAAAATGTGTATCCCATGGTGAAATCCCAAGCACAAGAAATAAGAATAAAGATTGAAAATAAATTTATAATCTGCAGAAAGGTATGTAAGTACACAATGTACTCAATTGCAACCTGTGCAACCTAAATTCAGCGAATCTTCAGTTGCACTGCAAAGTTTGCAGGCCGGATTCACTTGCAAATTCCTGCTAACTAGTCCGGCAGAGGGTGGTGTGGCCACAGTTTACCAACCTAGCCAACTTAAGTTTCAAACTTATACACTAAAACATTTCTAAAGAAGTGTTATTACTGTATATTACCATCCTAATATCTGCCAAAATCTATGTCTAAAAATGTATAATATGATGTACAGTACAAGCAAGCCTCAATGAATGAGATGGTTCACAAAGTGTTCAGTAATCAAATACTACAAGTACAGTACTCGTAAAAAAAATCACCGCTCCCCAACAGTGGGATGCAAACACGGGAAGCCAAGAACGGCCCACACCAGGTGTGTGACAATGCTAGTCGGACCCTGAGCACTCTGTGCCATCACCTGGCAGTGGAGATGAGCAGAGGGTTATCTTGAGATGATTTCGGGGCTTTAGTGTCCCAGCGGCCCGGTCCTCTACCAGGCCTCCACCCCCAGGAAGCAGCCCGTGACAGCTGACTAACACCCAGGTACCTATTTTTACTGCTAGGTAACAGAGGCATAGGGTGAAAAACTCTGCCCATTGTTTCTCGCCGGCGCCCGGGATCAAACCCGGGACCACAGGATCACAAGTCCAGTGTGCTGTCCGCTCGGCCAACCGGCTCCTGGGGTAACAATTTAACTGCAGACGAGTTACAGTAACGTGGCTGAAGATATGTAGACTAAACCACACACCAGAAGACGAGACTTGATAATGGTCCAGAACAGACCAAAATGTCGTCATCTCGTCTTCTGGCGTGTGGTTTAGTCTTCTTAATATAACTATTGTATTCCTGGATGTCACAGGGGTTATTAACATTTCCCTTGTCTGTTCTGGAGTGCTCTACTTTTCTGGTGGGTTTCCTTTTTGTTTGGGTGGTCTAGTATCTCCTGTTCCCCTGCACCTCTGAGTGGGTTAGATTTTGGCCACTGGTCTGAGGAAGGCTTTTTATGACTTGCAAGGTCCTGGTATGGGGGTTCCTCCCAGAAACTCATCAGGAATAATTCCTAATGGTATCTACAATTGCAACAAATCTCTGGATACAATGAATTGGGGTTGGTCCCATACAGTTAGCAGAATTGTGGTTGCATTGTATAAGAATCTGGTACAGAGCACTTACATTTCTTAATAATAACTGCAATCTTGGCCACAGACCAATAAATCAGTCAAGGAAGCCATAATTACAAATATGGAAATACAAAGACAGCAAAAAATAATGCCTTTAATATAACGTGAATATTGTGAATAAAATGTTTATAGATTTAACACAAGGAACCAACCTTAGACGACATGGATGTCCGAGCAGCAGCAACGATGCATTCTCGGCCAATGTCATCCGTGTTAATGGTGAGGTTATTTTGAATGTATCGACATGCTTCTCTGTAAAAGGTATTTATGAACATTGAATCAGTATAAAGATTTAAAATGTTATCCATAATTTACACAGGTATTTCAACTACAGATCATTTACTAAAAGCTTTGAGAGCATACTTGCAAGCCAGCTTATAGCCAGCAATAATGGAGGTGGGATGAATTCTCTGCTTCACCAGATCATCAGCAGACTTGAGCAACTCTGCAGCAATGATCACTACACTGGTTGTGCCATCACCAACCTGTCAGAAACAGACATCACTTAATTTTACATACGTGCAGCAAAAAATAAAATAAGGTCTTAAACTGATGTAATTTAGACTATGTAGGACTGTGTAGGAGTCTATAGGACTGATGTAATGCCCTATAAACTCTTAAGAATAAAACTACAACTTGCAGCTTGACACCATTATCTTGAGATTATCTCGAGATGATTTCGGGGCTTTAGTGTCCCCGCGGCCCAGTCCTCGACCAGGCCTCCACCCCCAGGAAACAGCCTGTGACAGCCGATTAACACCCAGGTACCTATTTTACTGCTAGGTAACAGGGGCATAGGGTGAAAGAAACTCTGCCCATTAGTCTAAACTACCCCATGCCGACAAAAACACGTAACGGGAGAGGTTGTGAACAAACTGCAAAGCCCCCTGTGGGCAGGATGGTGTGTTACTGAGGGTAGGAACACAGTATTATAGCCCCCTGTGGGCAGGATGGTGTGTTACTGAGGGTAGGAACACAGTATTATAGCCCCCTGTGGGCAGGATGGTGTGTTACTGAGGGTAGGAACACAGTATTATAGCCCCCTGTGGGCAGGATGGTGTGTTACTGAGGGTAGGAACACAGTATTATAGCCCCCTGTGGGCAGGATGGTGTGTTACTGAGGGTAGGAACACAGTATTATAGAAGTGCTGGCTATCCACATGACGCACCTTTAAGCCACTAGTGATAAGTTGGTATTTTGAGGATATTACTTTAAACTCTTAAATGACTACAAATAGTTTTCTAAGAATTACACTGTACAATATTAGTAGGAGGCTAAGTTTTATCATCATACACAAGAGGTGTTGGTTTAAGTGAATAGGATGAGGCAGGCATTCTGAAGACAACTGATACCGTAGAGACAAACTTGGGCGGCACTGCCCTATTTCCAAATGAATCATATTTTTAGGGGCCACACATTAGTATAAAATTTAAATATAATGGAATTCATAAAAAACCTGCCAAGTAAAATAAAGGTTTGAGAAAATTAATTTAAGGGGGGGGGGGGGGGGAAATTATAGAAGTTTGAAAATTTACTAAGTATATTATTTATTATACATTGAGGTTGCTGCAAGAAAAGCAATTAAGTGCTAGATAACATTGCCAGACCTTTTATGAGATTAAAGAACAAAATAGCTATCAAGGAGAATTTGCAGTGGCATCTGTCATTTTACTGCACTATTCAAAACAAGAACATTTATCTAAAAATATTTGCAGGCTTCCCATCTTATATTAGGAATTTTTACTTGGCAAACCAATAGTATCGTACCTCTTCATCCTGCAGCTGTGCCAACTCCACCAATACACGTGCAGCTGGGTGTTCCACCTCTAGCAGTTTCAAGATGGTGGCTCCATCATTGGTTACTGTCACATCCTGTACAACAAGGTAGACTCAATACACACAACAAATCACAATAGTGTGATATATCAAATGAACAAATCCACAAGGGCCGTGATGAGGGTTTGAACGTATGTCCAGGGTGATCCCAGACGCGCCTTAGTCGATTACGCCACGACATGCTAAAAGAATTGTAACCGGGAGTACAACTGCCCTCACACGGATCCTGCAGCCTCTCCGAGACAAACCGGGGTTTTACACAATTCCCCCATGAACCCGGGCTCTATTAACAAGCTGTTCTACCTCTATCTTGTGGATTTGTTTGTAGACTATCAATATTTAAATCTGACCTATACACACTTGCACTCACATAAAACTACAGCAACTGGAAGTGTATTAACACCGACTACTGATTAAAATAAGAGCATCAGTTCTGCATATTGGTCTGTATTGATGGTTTTTGGGTGGAGAATGATTGAAATCTGTATAGCATCTGTTATGAATGCTAATGTATATTAGGGTCTCACTAGTATAGGCACATGTTATGATAACCTGCTATGCAACCTGAATCTCTTTAATCTGGCTGCACTAGTCAAATTAACAGATTTGGCTAGTGCAGGTTCATCACAATGCACTAGGCTATTTATTTGATTTGGGTTGCTGATGCTATGCCCTAATAAAATAGTGTGGCACAGCTATTGTAGTGGTATGCAAAAGCCTATTTAAAGCGAATGACACGAAACACAAAAATGTGATCAAAATTTAAAGGCCTGGTATACAAAATGCCTTTATTTTCCAACAGTAAATTAATTTTACAAAAGAAAATAATTTATTCACACTTGACATTGTGACATCTTCCTTTAATGATGTAATAATTTTTATTGACCGAGCTGTAAGCATCAATAGCCTGGCTGATCAACCATCTCTAGTACCATCAGATGGTTGACACCATTTAATAAGCAAATTAACTTAGTTACAATACTCAAGCATTTTATAAGGTCAGAAAAAAGATGAACAGTTGCATTCATTTACCCAATTAACAGATTATAAAATAACCTTCTCTATACACTGGATGCAAGTGATCCTGTTGAACTAATTTAATTGAATTGAATTTAATTGAACCATCTGAATTTAATTGAACCATTGAATTTAATTGAATTTAATTGAACACTAATTTAATTGAACCATCACTTGGTGCTATGTGATGGCATTATGTTCCCTTTCATGTAGAGTATTTATATAATTTAATGAAGGGTCATATGTATGTCTAACATTTGGTTAACAATTTTATAACCAGAGAGTACACACCAAACAGTATCTGTGTAGACAGTAACAGTAAAGGTTGAGAACCACTAATTAGATGCAGTACTAGATATGAAGTTGATATGAAGTTATGTAAAAAAAAAAATGGGTAGCTGACCCATTAGGTTTACTCTGATTTCTGCAGTATATTTAAAATATAAATTGCATACAAAAGCAAGAATTTTTTTTAATAAACATCAAATCCCTATTTTAATAAATCAAGATGCAGTGTGCTACTTAACATGGTGAACTAAATTATCTCTGAAATACAAATCTTAATTTATACTGTAACATTAATGTTCAGTACAGTATCTAGTGGAAACCTATACACAAACCAATTGAAAATAAAAAAATTTCTACTTACACCAACATCGTCAACTATCATTTTGTCAAGTCCCACTGGGCCAAGAGAGCTCTTGACAATGTTGGCAACTGAACATGCAGCAATAACTGGGGAAAAAAATTTTCAATATTGTTAGCAAATTTACTTTTAGCATTTCTCCCTTAATACAGCACCATTTAATGACATTAACAATGCAGTAGTTTCTCAAGTTTAAAAAATGGTTATCACATGAAAACCTAAAATACAAAACATTAGTTTTTAAATTGATGCAAACTCTATAAAAAATTTGGCCAATATTAGGTAGCCATTCCTACTTTAAGCAACATTGTGCAGATCAGGAATACACAAAATCAAAGTGATGATATTTGTCACATGCCGAGGCAAAATTAAAGAAATGTGGTCACCAAGTGGTGCCGATACCCAGCCCATCCTCCTGTTTTATAACTTGACTCTTGCGGAGCGCCTAGTTGGAACCATGGTTGAGAAGTGCTCGTCTAAGCAATTGGAAAAGAAACTGTCAAAATGTGTTCAATCTGACCATACTTAATATATAATTTCAACAAATTGAAAAAATAAACACCACAAGCAAAATACTTGTTTATGATTGGACTGCACCTCCCCCCCCCCCTTCATCCCACCTAATCTAACACAGGCTATCCTAGCCTATCTAAAAGTTAACCCAACCTAACACCGAATACAGAAGTGTTTTAGTAGAGAGTGAATGTCACTGAAATGTGTACGAGGTGACCATTTCCACACACACCCATAACCTCTAGGTTAGGTAAGGTTAGGATTGATTTCAGAGCAGCACTTGAATTAAGTCCTGAGAAGGGGACACATTGGAAGGGAACTATCAGGAGAAAGTGCAAGGCCATTAAGACTATATAGCACTTGGAAAGGTCAGGATATGGATTTGGGATGGAACGAGAGGAAGGAATGGTGCCCAACCACTTGGACGGTTGGGGATTGAATGCCAACCTGCACGAAGCGAGACTGTCGCTCTACCGTCTGCCCCAAGGAAGAGCTGGACACCTTGGAGCCCCTATACACTAAACATCAAAACAACCAAGCGCTTACAAATTGTCATCCACAATTTCGTGGAAATAAACTTCCCATTTACCTGGGCTGTAGGAGACGAACCCCACAGGTGTGAGGCCCAAGCTCTATTGATCGAGCTATTGAGTAGCCTTAATAAGGAAAGTTCCCATTCACCTCGCCTAGCACTCAGGTGAACGGAATGTTTATTTCCACGGAAATGTGGCTGACAATTTATATGATGTGGGCGTGGATCAATAATTTCTCAGGGCTTCAATAGTAGTCAAGGAAACTGGAATATTTCCAGTTTTGGCAGCAGGATGCTGCTTCTGGAACCTTTCCTTATTAAGACTCCTCAATAGCTCGGTCGCAGTTACAGCCCCACTGCTTATATTTATTTAATCATTTATACAAAAGGTACATTGGGGGATTATGAGAGAATATAACAACGATGATTTGACATCCATGTTAAGCCACCAGCACTCAGATCCTGTACCAGGGACAGCCACCAAAATTGGAACTTTTTGTTCTGAGAAACAACATCAAGAAGCTCGGGCGGTAGATCCTGAGCCTCACACACGTGGGGGTCCGCGGTTCGAGTCTCCTAGAACCCAAATGAACGGACTCTAGCTCTTGGGCTCCCCGCACCCTCAGAATCCCGTTCTCATGATAAACTACAACATAACTGGAGGGTAGTGTAATGTGTCCCGGGGTGGGCAGACACGCGGGGAAGGGACGGGGACGAGGACGAGGACCGTCACCACCTCCAGCAGGAGACACTCACCATTCTCCGTCCTGACGGAGGTGCCTGAGGTGCGCTTGCCCTGGATGGACAGTACGGATTCTGCCGTCATGGTGGCGGTGTCTGGAGGCTCTGGAGGACAGGAGACGGGAGTGGTGTGGCGGCGGCGACGACGGAGTGACTCAGGGCTCACCAGGCGACTCTTTAGCCACACTCTCAGCAGGATCAGAACCCGTCTGCCGCCACTATGGAGGATCTAATCCCCTCCGGCACCCCCGGCCTCACGTGCCTCGATCCCTTACACTCACATTTCTCGATTCTTCTCGAACTGCCGCCACAAATGTCATGTAGACGGTCAATATCTCGTGATTTACACCGTCTAAACTATTGTTTTTGACCTTAAAATACGTAATAGAGCGAGAAAAGTTAGATATATAAAAGATATCAATATGATCTGAGCCACAAAGGCATTACAAAGGATATACAAATAATTTTCGCGGGCAAGATATTCATAGAAAACTTAAGCATTATTATAAGAGAAAATGAAGTATTTTTATTGGTAAACAATTGCATTTTTAATATTTATTTTTGTTATCCCACCCAAAGTAATTACTATTACTACTTTTTTATTTGTATAATATACACTGGAAGGTGTTACATTAGTTTATTAGAATGTTTATAAATTATATATTGTACAATTCCACTACGGGGCTCACCATAGCCCGTGCTACTTGCAACTTTTATTCCGAGTAACATGAATGTAAAACAATAGCAACACCAATAATAAGTTTACCAAGTAGGGATTTAGTAATAATTAAGCTATTGGATTTAGTGCCGCTAATTTAGTGTGATTTACATAGGTGCTAAGACCATGGCTTTAAAAAAAATAAAAAATAAAATAATTTTTTTATTCAGGTAAGGTACATACATACAAGGTAAGATACAAAAGTTGCTGGATTTATAGATAGAGCTAGTACATACAATGCCTAAAGCCACTATTACGCAAAGCGTTTCGAGCAGCATAAGTGCATAAGTTTACATAAGTGTTCTATGAGTCCTCTTTTAACGGCATTCAAACGTTGGTGTTCCTCGTGGCTGGTTGTGCTACTCAGTAACTAAAGCGATAACTGAACGATACAGGACGGTCTATAAGGCTCGTGAGGCCTATTTAGTGAGTTAAGTATCAATTAAGACCAGTCAACATCGCTGGGAAACTATTAAATGAGCTGATGATAGTGCTCAAGCATTAATAACACAGAAGTTGTCAACCATCGTCCAGTGCTCCTCTTAAGAACAAGTGTGGAGGCTACCCACAAGATATCATAACATTCACATGGCAGAATACGCAATATCTTACAGGTAAGACAACTATTGTATCGTATTTTCAATTTAGAATTTAGGATGGTGTTGCAATTAAGCTAAAATTATTGCTATGAACAGCCGGGGAGGAGCCAGCTGATCGTACAGTAAACATTGGACTGACGGCAAGGGCCAGAGAACTAATATTATCGATTAAAAGAAAACATATACACTATATATATCATTCTGGTAAGTAAATATTTATTTATTTATATACAAGTAGGTACATTGGGGGTTAAGAGAGAATATAGAAATGAAGTTGATTTTACATTCTTGTAAAGCCATTAGCACGCATATAGCGTTTCGGGCAATATTTGTCAAATAAGATAAATTAGAATAGCAGGGGTGTCATTAATTAGGCTATGCCAAATGTGGTCAGCTGGCAGTTCCAAAAATGGTTGTGTGGGGAAGAATGTAATTACCTAAGTGTAGTTACAGGATGAGAGCTACGCTCGTGGTGTCCCGTCTTCCCAGCACTCTTTGTCATATAACACTTTGAAACTACTGACGGTCTTGGCCTCCACCACCTTCTCCTCTAACTTGTTCCAACCGTCTACCACTCTGCGAAAGTGAAAGGGTCCATTGTGACCCTGGCATGCTGTTCCCTCTTAAATTCTATCGACCCCGAGGAGCCTGTGTCAGTCCTGTACCCTAGCCCATTTCCCTGCAAAGTTAACCGAGGCTAGCCCTCAAGAGTCTGTCCTCCAATCTTTGACAGACTTTCTTTCTTATAGATATAGATGGAATAAAAATTATCTCCGGTCTTGTGTCCCTTATTGTGGCTTGTTGAGTTTGAAACTGCTGCTCCTTGTTTGTGTTACACCTGACCTTTATAAATATGGTCTGGATCAGTCTCCTCCACAATCGACTTGAGAATGGTCCAGGACGGACTGAAACGTCGTCGTCCCCTCACCTTCTAGTGTGTGGTCTGGTCAACAGTCTCCTCAACTGGTTCAGTATTTTAAGTATTGATGACATCAACCTTGTTATTTCTGGTTTGCAATGTTGTTGGTCCCGTATAAACCAAAGTGTACTAAAATCTTAAAAATCCATTAACAATACAAGTATATTAGAAAATCAACCTGTCCTCTGGGAGGAAATCCGCTCCTGGTAATGGATTGACAACGCCTATGTAATTATGGCTATTATCTACTCTCTGGTCATGGTTAAATTAGGTTAAGGTTACATTAATGCAGTATAGTATTGTCCAAAATGTGAAATATGAAATTTGAAAACTATTTAAGTGTATCTTTGAAATTTGTTTACAGAAAACCAAATTCTTCAGACTGTTTCTAAGAAAACATTTTCAGCAAAAACTTTATATTTTAAACCAACGATTTATAATACATTAAAGCCTTAACTCGAGAATAATCTCTGTTGAGGAGAAAGGTTCACTTGCCAGTTTACAAACACACTATTACTTTTACCTATTACTATGCAAGGCTTGGTCCCGCGTGTTACATTCAACATCGGCATTGAAATTTTGCTAACTTTCAGTCATGCAATCGTTAGCAAAGAAACCTATTAATTGTTAGTCACTTTTAATTTCACATCTTTTGCCGGAGTTTATTTTCATAGCATTGATCGTTCCATTTTAGGCGTAGCACTGCTGGATAAGATTTGAGCTTTGCGAATTTAACGAAGTTATTACAGATGGGATCCACACTGCTTGGTTAGGCACGCATTAAGGGGGCATCAGTTCCAAATATGCCCAAAATATCTAATAAATAAAAACTAGTTCGATTTTAATCAAACTTTTTTGACTAGTTGTATATGGAAGAGGTTCCATCTGGTCCAAGTCTCAGCATCGTAGCATAAATAGGAAGGGAGAAAAAAATTGAATTGTGTCAAAATTTTTCCATAATGGTCAAAAATTAACATCAAACACGAGTGTCAACTGAAATCATGTCTATGACTCTCAGCTATCACAATAGCATATAAGGAAAAGATTTAATAATTAGTTTTATCCGAAAACAATGTAGTTAAAACAAAAAATCATTTTTTTCTTATTTGTTTATCGGATGATTTGCATGATACTTATACACCTGACTGCACGTAAGCCTATCTGTAAGGGTGCCAATTTTGGAGGAAATTGGTTGAGTTCAATCTCAGCCACAGATGGCAGCACCTTAGCCTTTATTTTTTAATTATTTATTTTCAAGTGACAAACGTAATCGCTACTTTTTTATTTTTTCATTCAATTTACATGGAACTTACACCTTATATGTAGAGTTTATGTCTCTACAATCTGTAAGAAGCGTTTTGTTTTAAGTTCATTTATTGATTTTATAATAGTAATAAACATAATATATTTGCATATTTTTTGGGGGAAACTTTGACTATTTGTATTAATAAAACTAAACATATTTTGGAAAATCCGCTCATACAGATTCTTTATTATATGCTAATGTGATATAAAAAAGTGGCATAGAAATTATTACATGTGAAACTTGTGGTTGTAGAGACTTATTGAAAATGTGTAATATTACTTGAAAACAAATTTCCCTTTCTGTTTAGGCTGTGATACTGAAACTTGGAACAGTTGCAGCCCTTTTCATATACAACTAGTCAAAAAAAAAGATTGGTTGACATTGAACAACTTTTAAAAAAACTTTTCTTCAATTGATTTTCTGAAAAAAAAACTGATTTTCAACTGATTTTGTGAGGCTCTTAGCATTAGGCTCGACTCGCTTACTGGTGCTACGGCGACTATCTCTCTCTGACAGCAGATTTGATAGCAATGTTAACGTTTATTTTGTATCTAATCAGTTCACAAGTTATACTTGAACACTTCTCACCTTCTTGTTCTTGAGGCATAATTGAAGAGTTGATGATGAGCGAGTTTTGAAGCTTTGTGTTGATCACTGTTGTCTTTTGAAGCTGCCTGATGGGTAATTATCATGCAGCTGGCGGTATGGGGCCAGATTCACGAAGCAGTTAAGCAAGCACTTACGAACCTGTACATCTTTTCTCAATATTTGGCGGCTTTGTTTACAATTATTAAACAGTTAATGAGCTCTGAAGCACCAGGAGGCTGTTTATAACAATAACAACAGTTGATTGGCAAGTTTTCATGCTTTTAAACTGTTCAATAAATGTAACCAAAGCCGTCAAAGATTGAGGAAAGATGTACAGGTTCGTAAGTACTTGCGTTTAACTGCTTCGTGAATCTGGCACCTGGTGATTAATTTTTTGTTCTAACCTCCTTAAGATGTCACTTTGGTATGGTAGTGTTCTCAGCCTTCATTTTTATTTAACTGTTCTTTTATACCAGCTGTTTCAGCCTGTAGACGATTAAATGCTTTATTGTTTGTTGTCGTAGAGTCACAAAGGTGTTCGATAGTTTATTGTTGTTGGGCGATTTGAAATTGTAATAAGTTTATTGAGGTAAAAATACATACAAAGGGATGAGGTAGCTCAAGCTATTCTCACTTCGTTCAGTACAGCGTGTTCATATGTGGTAGGAGAAGCGAACACTCTTACGTATTCAGAGTTAAATGGCAAGTTTTTTCCCTGAATGCTCTGTGTTCCCTTCTCTGAGGCTGTGGGTCCCTATAATTGCACCAGTGGTGGTACCCCCCCATATATATATATATATATATATATATATATGCAGTACCCTCATATATATATATATATATATATATATATATCAAATAGCTTCGGCTATCACTTCCTTTTGTCCGGTCGTGATGGTCAAGCGGATTAAGGCGTCCTGTATATACCAGTTGCGTTGCTCCTGGCAGTATGGGTTCGAGTCACTTCTGGGGTGTGAGTTTTCAGTTGCATATATGCCTGGAGACCGTTCAGGCATATATGCAATTATATGCATGTATGTTCTTAATTCGGTATCATGATTCAAGAGTCCTACTGAGTATTTTGTCCTGG